ATCGGCAGAGGGTACCATAAGCCTCCTCGTCTTCGGTGCTCATCCCACCCGCGGGCGTATGGTAGTGCCCGGTGTCGTGCTCGTAGTGACGCGGGGTCTAATGCAAAGGAAATTTGGCCACACACCCTAACACCGGGCGTCCCTCGTCGTCTAGAAGAGCCTTCCCATGATCGTCGGTCACCACCGTTTCTTCCTCGTATACAGACTCTAAACCCGTTTTGGTAACCGGCCGCACGATGTACCACTTGTCCTTGAAGCCCCAGACATAATCCATATACATCCTGAACAGTCTCTTCGATTGTTTCAGGGAAACCCAACTGTGCCTACCTCCCTGGGACTGGTGCTGTAAATGGAAGACTCTGAAGAAGAGAGGTATGGTTTCCCCAATCCTTAGAAAGCGACACGTCAGCTCGAACGCCCGGATGAAAGCAATCGAGTTTGGGTGAAGCTGTGACAGGGCCAGCTCCAGATGACCGAAGACCCCGACCTGAAAATCGCTAAAGGGGAGCTTTAACCCAAGGTCCTTGAAAGCGATCTCATACATGGGGAACCCGTACTCGGGGAACTCTGAGCAAATCCGTGCAGTAAGAGTCGGTCTGGTGACAACGAAATTCTTCTGAAAACCGGGCTGACTACCGCCCTGCTCGATGATGGTATACGCACTTCGACTGCGTCGACTATAGGCAGCAGCAATCCCTCTGGGCTCGGCGCCCACCCATTCCAGCAGAGGATCATCGATGGTGTCGACCAAATTCACATTCTCCTCGGCACTTTGGTCTTCCACCTCAGTGCGCCCCGAGGAACACGGTTCATCCGCCATTGTTACCTACAAAGCACAGGAAACCGGTCAATTGGGGAGCAAATCCACACGCTTGCCATGACGGGCAGGAAGAAGGGCACGACAAACCGAGTCATTCCATGCACGACTAAAAAAGTTGGTGTTTCAAACAAAAAGAGTGGAGTCACCTCCCCGACTCCCAGATACCACGACAAGTCTTCCTACAGAACACCTAAATGGGCCAACATCTCGGCCACTCACAAATATGTCGACCTAGGCTATGAACATGGCGAGCGACATAATAAATCCTAAAACTAGAGCTATGAATTTACCGGGCACTACCACGAATTAGGCGCCCTGAATCATGAAGATCCCAGGCAGCACTGCGAGTCAAATACCTAAACTATGCATTTACCGGGCGCAAACATGCGTTTGTCGGGCATAAACATGGATTTGCCGAGCCAGATACAAATCTATCGGGGCTAATCCCAGACGTACAGTCTCTAATGTCTAAGACAATGAAAAATTACATACATCACAGAGGAAAATCAAAGGGGACAAGACGCTTACTTGAAATCAGGAAAGAGGTGCGAAAGCGGAAAAGGGAATTAACGACGGAGAGCACAGCGGTCCTGTGAATATCTGGGAAGAACAGCAGCAGCAGAGGCGGAGGAAGGAGGAGAAGCGCGAAGAGGAAAAACATGTTCTGGGGCCCAAGGACCCTATTTATAGTGATGACGTGGAATACGAAACGTCACCCCGGGGAACCATAGACTTCCCTCCTCGACGCATAGCTCCCCTAGGCAATGATGACCCTATCTTCAATAGGGTGGCGGCACGGTTCCCAAGAGATGCCTCGTGTGCTCAACGAACACAGCCCGTCGAGAGTCCCCCGAGCACTCCTCGAAAGGAATTATCTCATGAGCGCGACACATGGGAAACTCCTCGAGCAACCACGGGGAACTACATCTCTTGTCCGGGCACGGGACCCCGTGACGGAGGCGAACTAAGATCAAGTCATGGCTCCTACTCCAGGAACCACAACTTGGGGGGATCCTGTTCTGGATTGGGCCGGGCTGGCCCAAAAGCAAGGATGAAGGCCCAATCCAAATGGCCCTGCAGGGGGTCGCGCCGACCAAGAAGCTACAGCCTTGTCCACGACATCCTCGACTTCATGCAGTCCAGCTCGACCTCACCTCGAGCGCTCCTTGTAGGGCAGACTATGACCATTACGCCATCATCTGGATTCCGAAAAGACCGCGTCCCCGTCCGTTTGTACTTCTCGCAGAACACCCAGGAAGCAGACCACGTGCGGGTCCCTACTACACACGTAGAACCTGGGAGTTCCTTCATTGGGCCAAACTTGCCCGACCCAATGAAGGGACCTTTGCCCAGCGCTGGGGGCTATAAGTACCCTCTGTTCCCAGAGGGTCAGGTATTCATTCTCTTACCCACACTCATACCTTTTGCCTGCTTGTACTCTCACTCACTTTAGCATCGGAGTGCCTCGCAGGTACCCCCCCCCCCATCTCGTTCAATTTCAGCTTGGAGCCAGTCGTGACGGTCCAAGTCTGATCCGGTAAGATCAGGATGATTGGCAGAAGATTGGCCTAAAAAGGAAAGTTTTCATGCAAAATGTAAATCAAATATTTGACCTTGATTGCACAAGATTCATCTTATGTTTGTTGACCTAAATCACTCTTCTATAAATACCCAATATATTCATACCAAGAGGACACGGTTAGACAACCAAGAGCATTAGGGTTTCAAAGAAAAAAAATTTCTCAAAAAAGTGCAAGCATTCGAGTTGAAAGTTCCATGCAATTTCAATCCAAACTAAGCCTTGCAACCATCTCTTGAACATCCATAGGGTAAGTACAAGTGATTTTCAATGGTTTCCCATGCTTAAACAATCATGTTCATCATCTCCGATTGCAATTTTTTCCATTATTAATATTTTTAATTCTATGCGTTGTTGATTGTTTCTAACTGTCTGAATCTTCATATATGAAAAATCTTCTTTAATTTCAAAAATCTTCTCCCTCCTTCTGAAAGATCTTCTTGTTTTTAAAACTTGAACACTTTCATAATAAACTTGGACTTATGTCCATGTATTTTCAAAAATTATTTCTTAATCAAATTTCAATCAACTTAACAATACTTTGACATTTTTGTGAGAAGACTAAAAGTAAATAAATCTCAATCAAACTATTTTTCCATTTTCGCTTTTTATCTTTAAAAAGCTTTTCTCAAAAGATGGGACTCTTGTCAATCTTTGTAGTGATACAAACAACTATACTTTTATAATATATAGTGAAGTGAGATATTTTTCACTTGGGTGTTGAGTGAGGCATTGTTGATTTTAAAATCCAAGCCATATCCTCCACTTTGAGATGACGCAAATTCTCCTTTCTCATAATTGTGGGTAGTAAGTATGTTTTCCACACAGACAATGACAATGACGTCTTGTCTCCTAAAATTAACCAACACACTTGTGTTTTAAATTTTTTAAAGAGGAACTACGAGTACCATGATACCCTATTGAATGGAAGGTGGTATATAGGCACTAAAGGTTCGCAACCGCGGCGGGTGCAAAAATTATTTAAAAAAATACTTCTTTTCTCATCATCACAATCTATTTTTTATACAACATTTTATAGCCAAAATATACAGATTTTACAAAGAGGTTCCTGCGGAGTACCGTATATATTTAGGGTTCTAATACCTTCCATTTGCATAACCAACCCCCTAACCTAGAATCTTGCACCCTCTTTTGGGTTACTCGCTCTTTTCCCATTCCTTTGTAAACAATAAAGCGTAATGGCGATTTTTATTTTGATCTGTACAAGTCAAGTCAATCCAATGACTTAGTCTTAACATTTCTACCGCTATAGTGCACCCACGGTAACTATGTGCGCCTGCCCGTACGAGGTCCAAATGGACCTCCCAAAGGTTTATAATTCTGGGCCTAAGCCCATACTGACCGCACCCCACCTTTTTATTTATTTTTTGCTTACCTGACCAATTTTACACCCCCTGCGTTTGGGCCTTGTTCAACATCTGAACTTGGGTCCCTTAATTTTTTCACCCCCATGTTTTTGCTAGTTAACTGAATTCACACCTCTGTGTTTGGGTCTGAATTTAACATCTGAATTCAGGACCCTACTACCTATACTCCCCTGTTTTGCTAGCACAATACAAAATACACCCCTCTGCATTTTTAAATTTCTTTTATTATTTATAATTATTATTTTTATAATTTAATATATTTATAAATTTATATTATTTTACTATTATTATAAATTCAAATATTATTTTCTAACTCATCCAATTATTTATTTATTTCATTAAAATTATTATTTTTCATGCACTAAAAATATTTTTAATATATTAATATATATTTAAAAAATCCTTAACCACCACCAAATCTATTTTTCTTAATAATTTAATGATTCAAAACTATTTTCAAAAGGGATTATGGAGATACTTTTAATCGACTATGAACTTCGTCTAACAATTCCACTATTCACACACCCAAACTTGGTTTAAAGGGAATTAATATTATCTTTGTAATCTATAAAAAAACACCAACCAAATACGAACTACAAATTGGAACTCTGATTCCTCCTAAGAGGATATGTAGGCAGACGACTAAAATCGTGGTGACTTCCCATAATAAAAATTAAAAGCCTATTTCCTAAGCCGTAATTCTAAACCCTAGTATCCTTGTGAACAAAGTGGATGAAAGGTGCCTAACACCTTCCCTTCATCTAAGAATGAGTCAAACAACTTAGAATCTTTGACCACTTTAGGGTTATCCTTTATATTCCCTTCCTCAAAGATAAAAACAATGGGCGGCGACTCTAAATTTTCAAACCGATTACAACAACAAAATTCAACAAGTGTGGATGTTTCCTGTCCATCACTGAATTCTTCTCAAGTCTATAAGTACATGCACATTTATGAATGGTTCCTTGTTCTTTAAGAAACGGAGTCATGGCTAGCTCTTTTGCATTGTCAGGCCTCAATGTTTTGATGACTTTACCAAACTAACTTGATTAAGGCAAAAAACAATGTTACTTATGGCTTCAACATTTATATGGTTTCCATTGAGAAGTTTGATAAACTTGTTAAGCAAAGGTTTGGATGAATCAAACAAAGAAACATCAAAACATATGAGAGAAGTGGCACTTAAATCTATTATGCAGGGTTTTAAAAAAATTTATTTATTAGAGTCAATAGTGGAAAATATCATACCTATGACTGGATTAACCCATGCATTTGCTTCAGAAGCTCCAACTTTGGTCATTTGTGCTTTCAAGAAATTGATGAGCTGCTGGTAACTTTGTGGAGTTATTTGTGTCGTATCAAAAAGGGTCTCGGTGTCTGCACTACCATGATCATTCCCATTGTTACTTTGGTTTGATGCCTTGAATATTTGAGGTTTCTTGTACCCTCGAGGATATCCATGAAGCTTGAAACACTTTTCCTTAAGGTGACCAACAACACCATAATGAGCACACGTTGGCTTATCTTTCTTGAAGATCTTTGGGTTTTTATCTTGAAAAACACAAGCAAAGGGGGTTTCAGTGGGATTCAAGGAAGATGTAATCTTTATTTGTTTCTCATATTTAGTGACCATAGACAACACAACATTAATAGAAGGTAGGGGATCCATAAGAAGAATTTGGCCACGAACCTGATTGAAAGACTCATTGAGTCTCATTAAGAACATGAGAACGTTCTCATTTTGAAGGTGATCTACGATAGGTTGTTGTAATACGGTGAGAGAACTGACTTTTATTGGTTTGCATTTTTATCACAAATGTTGCGGTTAGCGAGAGTCGCCACTGAATTTTCTTTTATCCAACAAATGAAAGGGTGAAAAGAACATGAAAGAACTTTCAATATTTTTCTGAGTAAGGGGGTAGGTTATAGAAAGGGAAGGTGTTAGCACCCTTTTCATCCGTAGTTATCTATGGGGTCTTAGTTGCTAGCTCATTTTGAAAATTTTTTTTTGTGCAAGTATGTTTTTAAGATATTTTTAAAGACACCTTGGTGCGGCGAACTTTGTAATGTTTCTCGTTTCGGGGAGAATGTATAGAAAGTGTTTTTGTCTTTGAAAATATTTAGAAAAAAGTTTGTGTATGTGTGTAAAAAATTGTTTTATTTGTATGAGCAAGCAAATATGAACTATCTACATACTAGAAAGATTTTCTTTCTTTTCCTCATTTCCTTTAGACAGTGATATCTTACTATTAGTCAGTAGGTAGCCCTATCATTGGATGTCTTTGAGGTACATGCGAGGGTCATCGTACAGTCGCGAAATCAACTCGTAAGATACTTTAGTAATTACCCTACGGTTTTAAAATCATATACCGAGGCAATGTCGAAAGGGTCATCAAGGGACTTATGATCTTTAAACCAAAGGGTCACCACTAAACTCTCTTCCATTCGTTAGTCGCGACTGTTTATTTATCCGAAGGCAACAAATGGAGGCACCTTAGAGGTGCGCGTGTGCGAGTGTGTTGTGATTCAGTTATTTATCTTGGATGTTAGGTTTTGCTAGTGTTTTCTTTTAGACTTATCTATCATACAATCCTATTAGCATTCATCTAACAGTTAATATTAGTGCGAAAAGTAAAGTGAGGAATTTAGAGCTACGCTATTACATGGCTTCGAGGAGGGGGGATTACAAACCAAAACGGGGAAAAAAGGTAAAGTCCTAATTTAAAGCTATTATATCCTTTTGCAGTTACATAATTTATAAAGAAAAATAAACATGCAAAATTAAATAAGCGCGCGAAGATGGAAGTGAGATCAAAATCCTAAAAACTCCTGAAGACTTAAAAATTTTTTTTGAATTTTTTTTTTTGTTTTTTATTGTTTGAAAAAAAAAACAAAATTTGAAGTGATTAAACCCTAATAATTTTTTTTAATTTATTTAAGAAAATTAAGTTAATGATAATAAAAAAATGTAATGTCTAATTGATTTTAATTAAAAAAAGGAAGTGATTATTAATTAAAATTAAATCTATTTTTTTTGGGTTTTTGATTTTATGTGATTTTTATGATTGAGTTAATTATCTAAAAAAAAGTTAATAAGATAACATAAATATTAAAAAAAGAAAATGTCCTGATTCCGAATCTACGCTTATTTTTGTCTGGATCGTCCCATATCTCGAGATCTAAAACCAAACGTTCTTGATGCCCTAACGATGGCATTACATTATTTTTGCCTTCATTCTTGCATGTAAAACGTTAGACTTGCTCAAAATATCAATAGTAATAAGAATATACACATAAAAATTATTTAAATTATGAAATCAAAGAGATTCGAAATCAAAATTTTACCAAATCAGAGAAATGGTATAAAGAGATTATGAGACGTGTGGGAGTTGCATAATCATGTGGATCGCCTCCTAGGGGTCTTAGAAGGACGAGGGAGTCACTGGTTTTGAGTGAGAGAAGCTGGAACTTGGGTTATGAGTTTTATCACTTCTTGGAATTTTTTGTGAATTTCGAGCTCTCTCTTAGGTAATGATTTTTTGGTTCTCTTAGGTAATGATTTTTTCGTAGAGGTATGGTAGGGTATGGTATATATAGAGGAGTGAGAGGAGAGAAAACAAGTAAGGTAAGAATCAAGGCATTAAGGCCCTTTTCAAAACAAGATAAAACACATTAGAATGTTTCCAAACTTGTGAAATCCTTGCCATAATTGACATGCATTGAACCTGGACTTCCTTGCTAGACTTTGCACTAAATTTGGGCTTCAATCTTAACCCATTAGTCCAATCATACGCCTAAGTCCATTTGCTTTACACTTTGTTCTTGGTTTAATTTGTTTTAAACGAAAAAAATTGAAATAAAATAAATAAAAATCATGAAAAATAAGGGAATAGTTTTAGGGGTCCTATAACATATCATGAACATGTATGAGTCTAAAAAATTAGGTCCATTTGTCTAAAAGTTCAAAATTCCCCAACTTGAAATTCATGAATTCTTTCAAAATTCCCCAACTTGTGCAACTCATAACTTGCTCAATTTTCACCTTTTGGAGTGGATCTGGGACTTTTTGGAAATCCCTAGATGTCCTATATACTTTCTCTTTTAATAATGTTTTCATTTGGAGATATTATCTTTATGTAAGTTGCCTTGACAAAGTGTCTTTTGTTGACTTTTTGAAAATGACCCATAATGTATGAGATCATATCTTCCAAATGAAGCAAGCATCTTTTGGACTTGAGACTAAAAGAAAAGTTGTACAAAATTTAATTTTCTTCAAAATGGGCTTTGGTTGGGGGAACAGTTGATGAAGCATGTGAAAGTTATGCCTGGTCAAAGTTCAGTTGACTTCTACTAAGGAAAACCCTAATTTGGCAAATTATTGACTTTTGATGATCTGAGGACTTTCCTCGGGGAATCATGATCAACCCTTGATCAAATAATGAATATCACTTCAAAATATTGATGTTGACCAAAAATCTTGAAGTTTGACTGTATGTTGACCATAGTTGTCTCTTTGATCAATACAGTTGATTTTTGAGACATTGACTGAGCAAACTTGTGGTGTAGGGCTTGAAACTTGACATAAGCCTTGTTGAGAGCCTATGAAGAAACATGGGAGCCACTTGAGACTTTTGCAGACCAAATTTCCTTGAGAAACTTCAAACCATAGTTCTAGGCTTTTGGTCTAAGAGGTTCATCTTGACTAGTCAACCCTTGGGTGCCTTGACCATTTGAGGAGACTTGAAAGAATGATTTGAAGAAAATGGGAGGGAAAATTTTGGGGTACAACAGTTGCACTCCACCAAAATTGCATGTATGAACATGTCGATATTCTCCTAATTCCTCCCACAAAGATTTAAAATGTGCGTAGTAAGTGTTAACATTGGATGAAACTTGCATTTAACTGAGAAGATTGTTTTTCAACTAAAAAACAAGAGGACCATTTTTCTGTTGAAAGTGATCTTGAAGATCCTTCCAAATCCCGGCAGCGTTTGCAACATAATTGACACTAGCAAAAATATCTTTGGACACTGAGTTGAGGAGCAAAGAAGAAATCGTGTTGTTCTTATGCATCCATGAACGATATTGAGGCGAGTTTTCTTCTGGTTTTGGAAGCGTGCCATCCTCGAAACCAAATTTGTTCATGCCATCAAAATCCATTAACATGGAACGATGCCATGAGTTGAAATTATCACCGATTAATGGTTGTGAAACAAAAACAACCTCGGGATGATCATAAGAGTGAAGATAGTAAGAGTCACCATGATTTTCCATGGAAAAAAGAGGCAAAGATGAACACGAGATGAAGAAGAGAAAAAGGTGTAAAAGCAAAGAAAAATTAGAATTTTTTTTTCAGATACCATATTGTAGTTTAAGAGATTCATGGTGAGGAAAAGTGAAATGTGTTTCATTAGATTGAATGAATGAATTACAAGTAACAAAGTTTCATTATATATGAAGAGAAAGTTATAAAACTAGGAAGGGTATTTACACCACAATAACTAACTTTCAGTTAGTTAGTTACATCACCTAACAAACTTAATACATCAAAATCATAATATAGTGTAAAAATGAAGTTCCATTATTTGTGCCCAAAATAACCACAAGGTGGTAACTAAAATTATTGTATCCATGAATATTTTGTTAACTTCTTATAAGTATAAGGTGATTGATCTTTTGGTTTCAACGCGACTAGTTTGTAATTGTGAGGGTGTCCAAAGCATGATTGAATTGTTTGTATGCTTTATTGTAAAACTAAAGAGATGGATAATAGTTAAAAATATAATGGTAAAGACGATTATATTTCTCTTTTGAATCATTTACCATTATATAAGTTAAATCTTATGACTGAAACCTAAGATTACTCTATTTTAAATATAATCTTTTAAAAAAGATTATTTTACAACCTTGCAAATGCTAGGTTTTAGGAGTATCCAATTGCAAGGAATACTACTTCAGTCGAAGAAAATCCCCTAGTACTGGAAGTATTCAATCATAAATTGGGAAGATTTTATAGCAGGTAAATAAGAATATTGTATTACAAAACATGCAACCCTCAGGTGATAAGGGTATCCAACTGCACCCCGGGTGATAGGGGTATCCAAGTGTTATGAGTATTCAATCGTAAATGACAAAGGTTTTATATCACGTAAAACTAGACTAATGACCAAAATTATTCATGTCGAGACTCAGGCAAGCATTACAATCTCATAACTTTATTAATCGAATGTATAGATATATCTATTAGGTCTTAGTTACCATCTAAATCAATTCCCCAAATTTCATATGCATGTGAAAGCGTTAAACTCAAATAAAATTATATAGTTATAAAATAGATACTCATTATAGAAAAAATCACGAACAATTACATTAATCACATATTAAGGTAGAATCATCTAAAGAGAACATAATCTAAGAGTACTGGTCACTTATCCTTAGGTAAATTATGACTTTAACAATTAAAAAAATAAAAAAAATAAAGACTTACAATGGTTAGGGATGGTCCCCTAATGATACCCTTCATTTTCCAATTTCCTTGGTACATAAATATGCATTCACTACTATAAAATATACCTTTAGTAATATGTTATTACCTCGGTTATTTAATCAACCGAAGTACTAGTTGATATTTAGTCTCCTGCATTTTTTAAATTTTATTAAAAGACTTTTTACTAAGGTCCTTAATAACAATCGTGGTGAAAAATAGGAAGGAGTCAGTTTTCACCA